ACCATCCAAAAGACAAACAACAACAAATGTTGGCGAGGTTGTGGAGAAAGGGGAACCCTCCTACACTGCTGGTGGGAATGTAAATTAGTTCAACCATTGTGGAAAGCAGTATGGAGGTTCCTCAAAATGCTCAAAATAGACTTACCATTTGACCCAGGAATTCCACTTCTAGGAATTTACCCTAAGAATGCAGCACTTCAGTTTGAAAAAGACAGATGCACCCCTATGTTTATTGTAGCACTATTTACAATAGCCAAGAAATGGAAGCAACCTAAGTGTCCATCAGTAGATGAATGGATAAAGAAGATGTGGTACATATACACAATGGAGTATTATTCAGCCATAAGAAAACAAATCCTACCATTTGCAACAACATGGATGGAGTTAGAGGGTATCATGCTCAGTGAAATAAGCCAAGCGGAGAAGGACAAATACCAAATAATTTCACTCATCTGTGGAGTATAAGAACAAAGGAAAAACTGAAGGAACAAAACAGCAGCAGAATCACAGAACCCAAGAAGAGACTAACATTTACCAAAGGGAAAGGGACTGGGGAGAATGGGAGGGTAGTGGGGGATAAGGGTGGGCAAGAAGAAAGGGGGTATTATGATTAGCATGTATAATGTGGGGGGTGGAGGAAAGGGGAGAGCTGTGCAACGCAGAGAAGACAAGTAGTGATTCTATAACATCTTACTACGCTGATGGACAGTGACTGTAATGGGGTTTGTAGGGGGGGACTTGTTGAAGGGGAGAGCCTAGTAAACATAATGTTCTTCATGTAATTGTAGATTAATAACAACAAAATAAAAATGCTATACCTCATAAACACAAGTAATATTATATGGAAAATTCACTTATTGCATAAAAAAGAGTGTATATCAATCATACCTTAATAAAATATTGTTTTAAAAAAAGACATATGCACCCCTATGTTTACTGCAGCACTTTTTAAAATAGCCAAGATATGGAAGAAACCTAAGAGTCTATCAGTAGATGAATGGATAAAGAAGATGTGGTACATATGCACAATGGAATAGTATTCGGCCAAAAGAAAGAAACAAATCCTACCATTTGCAACAACATGGATGTAGCTGGAGGATATTATGCTCAGTGAAATAAGCCAGGGGGAGAAAGACTAGTGCCAAATGATTTCCCTCATTTGTGGAGTATAACAACAAAGCAAAACTAAAGGAACAAAATAAGCGGCCAACTCAGATACTCCAAAAGTGAACTAGTGGTTACCAAAGGGGAGGTGTGTGGGAGGGTGGGTGGGGAGGCAAGGGTATTATGTTTAGTATACATGGTGTGGGGGATCACAGGGAATACTGTAGCACAGAGAAGGCAAATAGTGAATCTGTGGCATCTTAACTACACTGATGAACAGTGACTACACTGTATGGGTGGGGACTTGATAATATGGGTAAATGTAGTAAGCACATTTGTTTTTTCATGTGAAACCTTCATAAAAGTATTTATCAATAATACCTTAATAAAAAAATTTAAAAAATTTTAATTTTAAAATTAACAAAAAAGAAGTAGGCTGGGGAAATAATAGTGTTTGTCAGTCTGTTCACCCTCACTGCCCTCCAAGGGCTCTAGGAAGCATTCTAGGTATATCTTACCTCTGTATCTCCTGTGTTTCCTGTTCCAGGTAAACTTGTGACAATCCCAAATCGCTCCTTCCTCTTTTTCAGCTTCTCATCATCTTCAGACTGTTCAGGGAAAAAGGAAACGGTTGAAACAAACTAGCCTCCACTCACAAGGTAAATCGGAGTGAAATTATAACTTATTGGTCACAATATGCAAGCCAACTTTGTGCCAAGAACTAAGAATCAGACAAACAAAAAAGTAGCAGGAAACAGAGTAAGCTGGCATACAGCATGTTGGCCCTAAAAGAACTAAAAACTTAATTTTAAGTTTACTTATATACTCCTAAGACCAGGAGAGTCAAGAAAATAGTAAGAAATATCTATGAAACAAATTTCTGTGCTGAAGAAATTTTAGTAGTTCAGAGATATGGAAAACTGACATTTCAGTGATTAACATTTGCAGAGAGAAGATTAGTAGAAGACACCCAAACTAACTGTTGAACACTGCTTACAAGTTCCATTTACTTGCCAAGAAGGGGAAGGGGAAGGGGGCCGGAGCGAACTCTCAAAGAAAGCAAAGTGTTATGAATACCAAACAAAATCATAGAAGGCTCTGAATAGTTTGAAATGACTCTGAAATAAGGTAAGCTGATGAAACAGCTGCAGTCTTCTGTTTCAGAGATGCTCTGGGACCTTTTCCAAACATTCAAGAGATTCATAATTTCTGCCTGTAACTAGAAAGAGTGTTTCAGCTTACTATGAATTAGAGCTGGCAGTTCTCCTATAGCTGGTTTAATAACTGAACTACTGTTCACATCCAATACTGTTCAGTGTAAATGGTCCTAAATCCTGCCACTTTACTACATTTTAATAGTTATTTTCTCCTTTCCCCCTTCCTCTCACACCCAGTCACCAATAATAAAAAATCCAGCCCTAGGACTAGTAAGAATCTAACATCAGGTAGGCTTCCTGGGTGTTTTTCTCCCCCAGAAGAACTTTATAGAACTTTGCACCATCTAAACAACAATCTTATTCTCTCACACATCTCAAGAGACCTTCTACTCCATACATACATACCCACCCTCACCATGGGCCAGGACACTTCCTAAAACTTTACTTACAAAAGGTCAGGTCAAAAGAGTTCAAACAAACTTTGAACAAGCTTCTGTTCGGTGCCCCTGAGCTGTATTTTTTTTTTTTTAAAGCCCAAGGAGTTCATATTCCTGCAGTCTGCAGGCGGGCTGTGTCTCTGGGTGTCAAAAGGAAGGCAATCAAGAGACCCACAGAAATACAGAGATTTTTAAATTCCTCTACACTTAATCCCAACCAAGGAGTTGCCTTTGATCCTAGGACCACAGGAACCACCTCTTTGGGCAAAAGCAGGGTAGCTACCTAGCTTTCTGTGTTAAATTTTTTAAACCAGCCCAGCTCTGTGAACAGAGCACACATGAGTACCTTCTGGGTCTTACTTTGGCTCTTTCAGCTTGAGGAACATATTCCCTCTCACCCTTCTACTGCACCCGCCTTCTAGTGAGCATAAAAGCAACAAAGAAAAGTTGGTGGCCATGAAGAACTGAAGAACTCTACACACAAGTTATGACTGAGTCACAGTATGTCATCAGAGCAGAACACTGCCTGCATAGTTTTTCTGCCTTTTTCATTAGCACCATCAGCAAATCCACGGTGGGGGGCCTAATCAATGTAAAAACACGGAGCCAAGTTCCAAGAAAAAAAAACATAGTATTGTCTCTAAAAATCATAAATTAAAATAATGACGATGATATTAATAGCCACTGATATTTGAGTGCTTGCTATGGACCAGGTACTGCAGGAAGTTTTTTTACATGCAATATCTCATTTACTTCTTATAACAATCTTAAACATAGTGAGTACTATGAATTCATAGACAGAAAACTTAAGAGAAATTAAATAACTTGCCCAAGTCTTATAGTCTCACAATAATAGTAAGTAGCAGAGCCAGATGGGAACCCAGCACATTTTACTCAAAAACCCATTTTCTTAACTTTACCATATCCTCAGGTGTCTCACAAGAGCATTTCCTTGGAAGAACAGCAGAATGGAAGAAATGCTTAATTCCCAAGGGAAGAAAGATCATAAGGCCCCTTGGCTAAAATCAGTTGTGAACTATTCAACCACTTTCACATCACTCAACTAACAGGGTCAATCCTCTAGGTTCCCACCCCCACCATGTGCCTCCACTTGTAACTAGAGATGGAGGGAAAGGACTTCAGGTAGTCATCTTCTACTAAAGATTTTCTGATTTTGGCCAACTTGCCATTCATTCTACTATAACTGTAATAAAAGAACTGGGGGTGGGGGGGAGGGTTTACAGTGAGCACAAGCCCCAGTATATTTTTCCTTACTAAGTCACTAGGAAAAGTTTCCTTGATTTTGCCTACCACCAAGAAATGAAGTAAATAAGAGATATAAACAGACATTTCAAAATGAGAACCTCTACAAAATATTCTGGATGAAACGTTTACTAAGTCTTTAGGCCAAGCAGGAAGGAAACAGCTTTAGGCAGAATAAAAGGAGGGTCCCTTACCCTTCTAGGGGAGAGGCAGGACTACACCGTATCTTGCTGAACTATCACAATGCACTTTTCTTCATTCAGTTCCACGCTACATGTACTTTGATCAAGTTCAAATCAAACTGAGATGCTGCTTCTGAAACCCAGCTGTTCTCTCAGCACAAGCCCTGGGGACACTCTACAAATGTCATCACAAAGCCCATGTCCATTCAGAATGTGTGGGACAGCCTTTCCTCTGGTTCTTTATAGTGCTATGTCCTGAAATGGGGAGTTTGACTTGTAAATTAAATTTCCTGTGTTTCCTTTTGAGCTCAAAGGCGAGGAAAGAATAAGAGAGGAAAAAAGGGGGGAATGGGTTGTGAATGTACATCTTTGGCCACTCAAGCTAGTATCAGAAATTTCCCCAGGAGCTTCCTTTGTAAATCACATCTTTGGTGCCTCTCCTGGAGATGCAGGCAGAGCATCTGCTCCAAATCTACCAGAAGCTAGAGGGGGGAAAAAAACAATGCAGAATCCCCCCACCTCCCACCCCCTACAGCCTGCCCACCCCTCACCCACACAGACCAGTGAGGGTTTTATTTATTTTGTGCATGCCTGCCCTTCTCCCCTCCCTACCCAGCACCCCTCAGCTCCCCTCCTAAAGCCTCTTTCCTCCTCACCCTGCAGGGAAAGTGCACAACAGGCCCAGTAAATCAACACAGTTCTAATGATCTCTCTCACTTGACCCTTCTAGCGTGACGGTGTCACATGGAAACAAACATACAATAAACTTCACTCCATCTTTAGCTCCTTGCTGACAGGTTTTGATTCATGGTATGGTGAGACCCCATCTGAGGGAAATTACCTTGACCAAAATGCATCTCTCTCTGCATCCATCAGGCCAATGCTCCCGAAGGCCATGCTCAAGTGCACAAATGGAGCTGTGATTCTGCAGGCAACACTGACCCCTCCAGCTCAGTGGGGTCATGCATTTGCAGACCTTTCCCTTCTTCATTCCTTCCCCACTTTCCTCCTGCGAACCCTCAACCACAAACAAATATTTTTCTTCCTACGCATACTCCAGTGTACAAAGAATAGTGCTTGAATCTGAAGTGCCTTTATTTCCCATCAAGTGAAAACTCCTCAAAACATGTAATTTACGTCCAAAATCAGAGAAGAAACCTGTCCTCACTGATAAAACATAAGGCATTTGTAGTTCAGACTGATCCGTGTACTTCCCTCCCTTCCATCCTCTCAAGCAAGATTTAAATAGCAAGCTGACTGGCTCATGTCAGTAATTTCAGCATACGTAATCCTCATATCCCCCAATAACGACCTTGTCTTTCTTTCTTTTTAAAAGCTCACTGATAAAAATGAGAAAAAGAATTCTGTAAAGGAGGAGAAAGCCCATGGGCAGAAAGCATGACGGTTTTTTAATAAAGCCTAACACCCCCATGAATCAACATCACCGTTTTCTCCATCGTGGAGTAAGATGGTTCCAAACTGAGCCCTTCAGAAGACATCTTCAACTTTTCAAAATCCACTTTGCTCCTTCTCTTCCACATTTGGAAAATCCTCAGGCAATATAAAGAAAACAGTAACTGCTAAGGGAAAAGAGTAAGACATTCAAGGCTGCCCTAAGACATATGACAAGTGTTCGGTACACAGGAACTATCATACAGACTATTCAATAAATGCTAGCTTACTATTTTTACTGTAGCATTCCTCTTGGTCCCCCAGTCAAAGCCTGAGGCCACCAACAAAATCTGGAAGCTAATGATGTCACTCATTCTTCTACATTAGAAGTGAAATCATTAAAAGTTGGCAAGAATGAGACCCATTACCAAGGCAACTGGGAAATTCCGTATGTAATATGGATATATACATATCTGCAAGGCAAATTTCCATATCTATCTACCGATCTACCTACTTATCTATCTATATCTATATCTATGTATCTGCAAGGCAAATGAGCTTTTGAACAGATGATTAGAATTAGGGTTAAAGTGTGGCAGAGTAATAACCAGACAAAATCACAGTCTTTTCCACCAGGTAACTACTAACCATCTTCTCTCTCCAGGACCCTAAAAACTCTGTGCAGCCAGACTTTACTGACCTCATTCTCCTTAATAAAGACTATAAAAAAAAAGGTACTTATAAAGATAATGCCTGAGGGAACTGAGCAAGGATCCAATCTCTAACCCTAGGCCCAATCCCAGGTGCTCTAAAAGCTCCCGAGAACTGCTCTCACTGAATTATATGACATCAGCTTCATTCAGCATTTTCTGTAACACTGAGCCCATAAAATTAATCCATTAATCCACTAGTCATTTAAATTGGAGAGTGCCTGCTTTGGGTCAGGCACTGCTTTGGCACTGGTAATAGAGATGAGTAAGACAAAGACCCTTAACCTCATAAGGCTTATGAATTCACAACTCAGTTAAAGATGTGTGCCACTGTTTGTTACATTACTGCATTATGAAGACAAATGGGGTAATTTTTTTCTGGTCTCCAGACCCAAAAATAATTATGCTTTTGCTGAACAACTTGTTAGTTTTTACCTTCTGAACCTTGAGAAATCACTGAATAGTACACTTGTTTTTCCTCTTCCTGCTGGAGCCAATTATACAGCTTGTCTGTGCACAGTAAGTGGTTTTGAAAATATTTCTATTAGAAAGGAGAGGCCAGAAGCATTGAGGTGAAAGAGAAACATGAGATCCAGAGACAGATGAATCCAGAGACAGAGACCGAACACCCAGTTCTGAGGTAGAAACTCAGAAGACAAGAGATTGTGCAACTGGTTACAGGGTTGTTTAAGAATTTACTCCTCTCTAAATATAACAGAATTAAAAAAATACTGCAATGTCCTATGAAAGAAAAAGAGGGGAAGGAGGTACTAGGGAAGAACTAGAAATTTTAAATTAAGGACCCTTATCAATGGTATCCCTAGCATACACATGTATACACAGACAAGAATTAAGTCCCAAATGGAGGATAAGCTACAATTGGACAGTCTGAATATAACATAGGTGCTTTCTAAAGTGACTGTCTCTTTTTATGGCAAAGAGTACCAAGGGTAAGATCTCTCTACCTAAAATGGAATTCTAGCTTTATCTTCCAAACCCAATTTCCAAAGTCTTCAAGATTCAAATCTGAGAGAACTGTCAAAATTTACTAAATTTCACCCTGAACACAGTAAAGAATACTGCTCTAAGCTTTGTGTGCCAGGATTATCTGCTCTGCCAAAAGGAGCCCACTTTGATTTAATAAGCACCCCGTGGGCTACATGTTGAAAGCATTCACCTTCAATTTTATTGCCAGTGCCACTCTGGATCCTAAGGAGAAACTAGGAGAAACAAAACAGTGACCCAAATGTAACCCAGGCTTATTTATAGAATCTGAACTCAGGGATTTATAAAACACAAAGCAAGAGTATTTACTGAATTCAAGTAAGAAATATCTTCACTATTCTCAGAGGACCAAAAGAATTAACTAAGCCGGGTTTCTCCTGGTCAGTGCAAAGAAGGTCCCTCACTCACCACCCCTCTTTACACCATGTGCGAGAAGAATTCCCATCATAAGAATTCAGTCAGATATCCTTTCAAAATCAGGGCATTTTAGGGAAGCTCGGGTACTGCTGAAGTGCTGGCTGTTCTTGAATAGTTGTTTTAAATGACCGAGCTACTATTCACATCCAACACTATTCAGTGTAAGAGTCTCATGTATATTCCCATCAGGCCCTAAACCCTACCACTTTATTTTCTCAGAAGTCTTTTCCCTGGAGTGATGGGGGAGTGGCTGATAGTGTGCTAACACGGTTACATTTTGCAAAACAAATAGCTACCCCCTTTTGTAAATAAACTTCCATACTAAGATGTTTAAATTCTCAGGCCAGTCTGATGTTCCATGGGAATATAAAGTAAGAAAGAGGCAAAAAAGAAAAGAGGGAGCCTTACGGTCAATTTCCTGAGCCTCACTGCCACGTGACTGATGGCAGGATGAAAAGCAGAGCCTGGGGGCTTTCAGGCGAAGGTAGATTAATAATGGCCTTGACTTCCCAGAGGCAAAGGTTACGAAACACTCCAGGGAGTGGGCTTCCAATTTCATACTCTCAGGGTGAATGACAGCAACTGATGGTTTTTCTCTTAGAAACACTTCAATACTTAAACATCCAGCTGCCACCTCCTGTCCCAGGTTTCTGAAATTTATCTGAACATGTTTATTTCCCGAGCCTTTATGCCAGCTGGATCACAGAACATGGGGTGGCTCTAGAAACCAATGCAAAGAGCCCAAGCAGGACTAGAGGTGAAGGATTGGACTGGCAGGGGGAACTCCATCTTAACACATATACAGCTAAGAGATACCCTAACACTCCCCCATGAATACACATAATATACTTCTCAATACAACCATGCTAACTATTCCCAACAATCTTTCAACTATGAGATCAGAATTAATCCTCTGAGACCAGTAGGGTGCCAGTAACTTTAAAGCTACCCTAAAATTAGCAACCACCAGGAACTGTTTCTCCTCCTATCTTTACAGGACTTGAAGCCCCTAAAACACAGACAGCTTAGAACCAAACTTCTGAGTCACTGGCTCCCATCACTTTCTTTCTCTTGTCCAAATCAAGCTCTTTCCCCAACCCCCACTACCCTCCAACCCCAGAGGAGGTCGTCTCGGTCTTGCTCTAGCTGACTGCAGGACAAAGCAAGGCAGGTGGAGGAAATGAAGGCTTCACATTTGAGACCCCCAGAAACCAAGTTTCTATTAAAAGTCCCCACCTCCCTCCTTTAAAAGCCAGGAAGTTGCTGCTTTTAAGGATAAGTGATGCTGAGCTTGGCAGAAATGTCAAGAAGTCAGTAGAGGGAAGCTAACAACTTTTGAGAAGAGGTGAATACTGTCTTGGCCAAAATATGCAGAATGAGGGAGAAGAGTTACCTAGAGCATTCAGAAATTTAGAATGAATACTAGGAAAACAGATTATCTTCACCTGTAACATTTTACAATGCAGATTTCTAGCTTCACCCCAACCTAATAAATCTGAATCTCAAAAGGAAAAGCCTAAGGAGCTATATTTTAAAAAGGGTTCCCTGGTGACCCTAACATGCAGCTATAGTTGGGAACAAATGCAAATACCTTTGAGAAAGTATATTTTAAAAAATCTCACCAAATCCTGCTACCCCACACCAATTCTCCTACCAAAAGTACTAGGGGACAAGCAAGAAAGTTTATGCTTCTCACAAACAGGGTATCTCAGCTGCACAGATGTGAAGGGGAAAAGCAAGCTATGAAGGAATTACAGCTGGTTCTAAAGAGCATACCTGTCTCTGCATTCCTAGGGAATTCAAACAGGAAGAGAGACTCTTACCAGATGAGTTCAATACAGAAAATAACACTCAAAACAATATAAGGGAATACCTCCGATTAAAAGAGGGAGGCAACTAGGTTGAAGCATGGTTATTTTTTTCTACAGAATACAAAGGAAGAGAGGGACTATCAATAAAACGGAGAACAGGTCAGTTTTGTGCTAAGCCTCATGCATTTTGCTCTGTTCATTTAAAGCACTAAAGGGGTCCATCACATAAGGCCCCTCAACTTAAGAGTTCTGTTTCATTTCAGGTGCTCTTCCTCCTCAACCACTTGACACCTAAGCATGAACCTGGCAGTGAGAATTCTGTAACTGCCTCATCTACTCTATACCTCACTATTAACTCCTCACCCAATAAATACTTTCTAAAATCCAGACACCAAGCATTTCAAACATAATCTCCTTCTCAATAAACACTAGGAATTTAAAGATTTAATATTTGATATGAACTCCAAATGTAAACACCCTGAAAAGATATTTCTATTTCTGTCCTAAGAATTTGCTCTGGGGGTAAGAAGGATAAGATTCGGTTAAAATACTGTTTTTAAAAATGTGAGAAAAGAGTAACAAAGAAAAGTCGAGAGGAAGGTCTTAACAAGTGATGTCAGTTTGCAAACATTACCACTAAGTATCTCCCTAAAAAATATCTCCCAATCTGATGCCTTGCCTTATTCCCATCTCCAAAATACTGTAAAATTTTGTCTGACCTATTTCAACTTTGCTTTTTCTGAGTACATAAAAAAAATAAACTATATGTAATCAAACCTTACTTGAATGGAACCCATATATACTTTTAAAAATGTTACCTGTCCTTACCAATGTCATACCAAAGAACAGTATTACTCAAGTATCAGCCTCTCAAGTATCAAAATACATCTTCAACACTCCTACAACTCTCACAACACAAGGAGACTTTGAACACGAAAATTCCACCCTCCCAAAAAACCTAGCAACACACACACACACACCAAAAAAAAAAAAAAAAAAAACACGCCCAAACAAAAAACACCCCACACTTTTCTCTCCCATACAGATTCTGAAGCACAAGTAGACTTGGATTCAGATAGTTAGCTCACATTTCACCATAGCTGGAAAGAGCATCAGAGAGTAATCAGACAGGTATTGCTCTGCTTAGAAGAACCAGGCCAACTACTGGTCACCCCCAAACTAGACATACAACTAGACATACAACCAGATGTAATGTGATTTACAGGTGGATTTTAAAAGTTATCT